CCCCTTGCCTCCCCCCCCCACCCCCCGGTTGGTACGCCCATGGTCCCAAGTCATCAAACCGATCACACCGGCATTCCCTGATCCCTGAAGTACTGCAGTTGTGAACTGGTATGACCTCTCGGACGCCATAGTTACCATACCCGACTCCAAGCAATTCCGACTAGCCCTTCAAAAACCACTTGTACTAACCCACTCCCCTCTATAACGCCCCCGAGGCACTGAGTGTATGTATAAATAAATAAATAAATAAATAAATAAATAAGTAGTCCAGGGCGCGATAACAGATTGCGCCATTGTAAAAAGAAGTATTGCCGACACACTCATAGATGGTGCCAGCTAACATCTAGATTTGTGACATTTTGATGGGCTACATACTTGGCTAAAATTTATCACAAGGAGAATATCTGTAAAAAATATATTGTTAGAGATAAATTAAAAAAGTCCTGCTCTTCAATATTGTGGCACCTGAATTTGTATTTAGGCCATGGCTTCTTTTTAAACGTGCATCAAGTACGGAACAAAAAAGAGATATTTTCTAACAAATTTAAGTTCCTGTAAAATATTTAAACTTTAACATGGGGTAATGTAGCGTCGTAATATTACTCAGTTTTTTATTATCTTTCTAATAAAACCATTGCCACGTCACTCCATTCGGTGGATGCATAAACAAAAAAAGTTGCATTGGAATTGCATAGGGCTCGGGAGCTGCGATATTCTCCTAAAAACTCCATTCAGTGCATTATGAAACTTCGGGGGTGTAGGTTGCTGAAATTTGTTCTTCTTTTTTAAGTTGTGAAGAGCCCTTTCTTAGTTAAAAAAATAATATAAATGTGTTCAGTAACCACGCGATAACATATAAGATCAAATGAGAACTGAAACATGCCTTACAACATGTCAAACACGCCTCAGTACGCCTTAGATGATTTATATAAGTTTTCATGTGTTGATTGGACAAATCACATATGAATTTTCTCTTTTTAGATAAGGTAAATCATATCTGCTTGTGATTGAATTCAGAGAAGGCAACCTAAATCCGCCATTGATTTGCTTTGGTACAGAATGTAATTAACCAGGGAAATATTCCAAATCAGGAAGATAAGTAGGTAAAGTTGAGTTAAGTTGAGTAAGCAAAGTGGAGCCCTCTGAGAGGACGCCCGCAGTGAACTCACGCGTTATGACTCCATGCCTCGAAGTCCTCCTTTGCACAAGTACGTGTGATACGAGGCACAGGAGAGCGCACCCCGCCGCGAACACACCGGAGTAGAAAAACATCCACCGGCCTCCTAATTCGGAGAATATCGTCCCACCAATGAGGGTACCTAGCGACTTTCCTGGAACAAAAACATTTTTACTGAATTCAAAATGCATATCTTTCGCAAAAAAAAAAAAAAAAAAAAAAGAAAGTCGCTCTGCGACGTTGCTAGGAGACTGTGCTTTCGGTAAATACATATGTACCCAAAAATTACTTACCAAGTCAATTTCACAGAAAAAAAGCGCATTCTAAATATTGTTTACCTTACGAAGAAAAAAAGCTCAGTTTAAAGAAAAAATATTGCGACGAAGAACATGGAGCTAAGCGTCTTCTCCGCGTGAGGGAGCACGACAATGAGGTGAAACAAGCTATATCCCACCCATCCGTTCAACGCCTCGACCCGGTGGCTCAGCATGTCAACGCCTGCACAAGTTGCGATCCAGAGCACAATGACATCCGCACAGTTGGAGGTCACATTTCTCGGTATGGCTGTTAGATAATCGAGGCTTTCTGCAAGCCACAAGCCCTGGGCAACATTGGCTCCCCTTCTCACAGCCTCTTCGACACCGAGATGTCGTATTTTCATCTATAACTGCAGCCCACATATGTGGTTCAAAGCCGAATCTCCACGCGCGCCACTTCGGCGACAAAGACCCTTCTCAGTTTATACCCTTTGTTCCTCTCTTTTCCTTTCTCTGTTTAGTCAGGCCGCCGCTGAGTCGATCAGCGTCCTCGAGAAACGTCAATAAATGTTCATGCTGACAGTTGGAAGTATGTTTCGTCCTGTCCTGGTCCTTTTAGCCGTTAATGTGACTTTGCTTTAAACCCGTAACCTTAACCCGTAATCTTTACCTAATTTTCTATTTTTTTTATTTTTAATTTGCCTTTTGGTGAAGATACTTTCCTTTGTTTATTGTACAAATACATAATTTGTTGCCTCGGAACGCTTTCCATATACGTTTTTTTTAATAATATTGTTAATATTTTAGGCGTTTTAAGCTGTAAATTTTGTTGTCTTATTGCTTTTTTCATATCTGCTTCAGCAGCTGGCTCATACTCAATTTTGACCATTTAACTATACAGTGAGTTTGTGTGTAATTTTTCGTGGTGCTTCTACACTGCGGATGTGCCTACCGACATATCTACCTGCTTGAGATTGATGCAATGTGGAATAAATGTAAACACCCAGGGTTTAGATTATGATGTATTCTAAGCAGCTTCCCTGCATACTTTCGCTCCTTGCATGTTTGAGTGCCTCCTCTATACTTTTAGCGCTTGGCAGAACGGCCTCCCGAGGCTGTCGAGCAACCGCTCCTGGCGGCCGCGTGAGGGCGTTGTGTTAAGAGGGTCTCCCTAGATCGTCTAGAGGGGGCAACTCTAACCACGGAAAACGTTAGAAATTGAATGGCGGAAGCCTACTGGGAGGACATCTCGCGGGTGAGCATGCCTTGCGTTGTGTTGTGTCGAGGGGAAAGCGGACGGAAATGACGTGACTTTGATCGAGCAGTTGGGAACGCTCTCAAATCCAGGCAAACTAGACCGGGTCTGCATCGTCTATTTTGGCCTATTTCGTCTTCGCCGTTCGACATGGTTTCAGGATCTCGCGGTGAAGGTACGCTGAAATAAAGTACGTGATAACATATTGACGTATCAGTGTTGTACCGGACGGCGTTCCAAGGAACAAAGTTCCTGGAACGCGTTCCTTTTAGGAGGAACGAAGGAACGCCGCCGTTCCATTTTGCATTGGTGGAACTGGAACGGGAATGCGTTACATTTTTAAAGGGACGGAAAAAGGAACGGCGTTCCTTTTTTCGCCCAGTGGAGTAATTTGTATTTTATTTCTGAAAGGGAAATTCTAAAAGTATGAAAACAATATTAATCTATACCAAGAGCAGAATTTCGTTTACTTTTTGGTTGCATACGATATGGTCAATTTTGTGTGATACTCGCTTGGTAACAGTAAGGGACAGGAGAACTAGTGGACATCGATTCTTTTTTCAGTGCCTGAGACTGCGGTACAGAAAGCCAAAGTTTTACTCGAAGGAAAAGACACAGAAAGAAAGACGGTTGAAACTCAGCTACTTTCTTTGCTTCCACTAATCCTCGTACACCCAGAAATCTAAGACCGACTGCAGCCATCACTGAACTTCCACAAATAGACGTACAGTTAAAACAGAAGAGCCCCGGTATCGAACGCACGCTTGTATCCTGAATATTGGTGACATAAAATATACACAAAATTTTTTTTTTATTTCTCCTCCCCTTGTTTCCTACTTCAAACTGAACAACGAGTCCAACCCTCACGAAGAAGGACCTGTACTTTTCAAGACTGACCTTCCAACAGCCCTACCTTCTTCACTTGCTCGTCTTGCGGACAGCAACATCGAGAAGCAACTGTTGTTATGTTCCAACGAGTGACTTTGTTAGGTTGAAACGCGTGAGGTTGTTGTGAAACGCTCGTGCAATGTGGGGTAACAGAACATTTGGCTCGTCAAAATCGCCTACCACAAAATATGATTAAAAGCTGAGGTTTTTAAAGGTTAATATATCAACAAATAAAACACTGCTTCCGCTTGTCTTCTCTTGGTGCCTTTCCATCACTGTATTTAATTTTGTATGTTGCCATTTGATGGGATAGATAAAAAACAACAAAAAACACTTTGTTTGATCTAAATGTATATGGTAATCGTCAAAATACAAATGTAACGTATATGTAACGACACGTTCCATTTCTTTAACTGTAACGGGAACGAGTTCCTTTTTCACATATGAAACTTTTAACGGGAACGCGTTCCAAACATCAGAGGGAACGAGGAACGAGCTTTTGTTCCATTTTTTGAGGAACGTGTACACCACTGTGACGTATTTAGCGCACAAAGTAGAGGGAAGAAGAACAGGACGGCAAAGTGCGCCACTCACAACTATGCCTACTGACAAAAATCATTAGTTTTTTTTTTTCTTTTTCTTTTCTGGTCAGTAAACATAGTTGTGAGTGGCGCACTTTTCTGTTGTATTTTTCTTCCGCCTACTTTGTGCGCTAAAAACCTCAATATGTTATACTATACAAACTAGCCCAAATCTCAACTTGACTACATGTATACGTGCTACTAAAATGTATACAATCTAATTTTCAATTTCTTTTTTTTTTTAGGGGGGGGGGGGGGGTGGTGAACGGCCGGGATTAAAAAAATACGCATGATTTCAGTGAAATGGCATAACATTGTAAAACTAAAAGTAAGAACGCAGAACGACATAATGTAGAGGGAATTGTTTGCAGCAATTACGGTGCGTGTACAGTGACTACAACAATGGCAGCGGCCATTGCAATGACCTCGCTTCAGTGGCGCGCCTCGCGGCTAGAGGTTACACTTGCGACAAATGCATCCGCGCACTGTTTTGCGACCATTTTAGCTGGCACTGAAGGTATAGGAGGCACTGGTACTATAGGTATATAAACATATTTGGCAATTGAGCGAATAATTATATCTGTAGTATTTCAATCTTTGTCTTCGTGTTAATAATGCGCATCAATATGGTTATAAGCATTTCTGAGGCACCCGCGCCTTTTGGAGCCTATTATGTTACTGGGCCAAGCCTATTATGTCCACGGCAGTGACTTCGTGATTGGTCCTTCGTCATTCTTATGTGCTAATGCCGTAATTTCACTGTAAATGAAGCGCCCCTTGTTCCTTAAAAATTAAGCTGTTACTGACTATGGCATACCTAGCTGAGTGGGCATCGAACTTACCGATGGCTCCTTCGCAAACGTTGAGGACGCACAAGACGGACGCCGCGGTACCTTCAGGCGCCACCTCTTTAGCGAACACAGTCATGGCGGGTTTTACAAGCGGATGTGCAGCCCCGGTGATGGGTTCGACGAGAAGCGCGAACCACGGGTTGTAGAGAAAGGCAGAGCCAATGTACCTCACCCCGAAGATCAAGAACGTAAATATGTACGAGGGATAATAGCGCGTTTTTTTCAGAATCCAACCGGACACAGAATAGAAGGGCACTTCTACGCATATGCAACTGACTGCGGATATTAATCCGATTATCAGTTTAGACGCTCCTATGTCCTCCAAAAACCACGTGTTGTATGACATGTAGATTGAAAAAAGGGCTCCGAGAACGCATGTCCAAAAGGCGAATACGGCAAGTTCGACATTGATGAACACACCATAAATGTCCTTGAAAAAGTTGGCCGACAGCTTGGGCATCCTAAGTGTGGGTATGCAACAGAGAAGGACACTGTCCAGGATAATGACCAGTGCATAGACAAAGTAGCTTGGAAGGTAACCTGATCGTCCTCCCGTCCATCGGTTGGCTGCATCAATTAAGGCTCCCACGATAGGACCAGCGGCTCCCATGCCTATCGCCCCTCCCGCTCGCTGCCTTCCGAAGTCCCTCACATTTTCAGCCAGTATCTCAGAAACGCCGGCGTCCGAGATGATCACAACAGCCACCGAACACAACGACCCTAGCGCGTAAAACACGGCATAGAACCACACAACTCGTTGATCTATCGAACCTGCTGTGCAAGGACACTTGAACTGACAGGTGCTGCGGTGGTAACCAGACGTACCATTCCAGAGAGTGTGGCAAACGGTGGAGGTGTTCTGAAAAATGTAGCTCACATCGATTTCGCTGAATTCGGTGGAATTCGTTGGGCACGAAACGAAACACTTCTCCGGTGGTTGAAGGCACACTGAGAACGAATTCAAAAGCGTTACGTTTCCTTCTGGGCATGATACCTCCCCCTTTGGTTCGGCCGTTTTGATCATAAAGCCACTGAAATAGAGAAGGCCGTGGAAAAGAATCGCAAGCGATTGAAGTGTCAACAATATTCTTGTTACGTTTTGCGTCCGGTCAGCAATGTATCCTATCAAAATCTTCCACGGAATAGCGAGCAGAGATGTGACAGTTAAAATGTAGGCTATGGTTGCCTCAGGGATTCCGTTTCTCCGACCAATTGCAGATTCGTATGGCAGAATGCAACCGGTGGCTGATGAAGAAAAAAAGCACAATATCGTTAGCCTTTGCAGGAATGTTTTATTTACTATTATCAAAATCGTTACAATTACAATAATATATATTGCACTTTACGCAGTCCTATATTTTCAAACAAGTAGTTGAGGACTTAGCAGCATGATATACAGTGATATAAAAGCAATCAATTCTGAACAAATATAAAACATGTACCGTAGTATCCCGAGAGATAATCCACCTGAAATTGAAAGCAAATCGGTTGAAAATAAGCAGTCGGTTAACTTTCGGTGTGCGACCGAGGAAAGTTAGAAAAATCTGCTGTTTGTAATTGTGTCACCTTTCAAACTTCTGATTGCGGGGAATCAAAGACGACTGTCCCTCTTAGTCAGGAACGGTCGCTGATCTCCTGTCGCAGCTATGTAGCACCGTTTCTGTAAAGGTCATTGTTGACCAGCGCCTTGCATTTCTAGAAATAATCTATCGTTCGGTGTTTTTTCTAACACCAAAGCGTGCAAAAGATAGGGGTAGGCTATGTTTCGGGGTGTGGGATATCTCTCGGGACATTACGGTATATTGCGAGATACATTCCAGCGGGACATGTATTTTAAACTGGTAGTACATACAGAAAGCCAAATTCCTCAATATTAAAAAAAATACAAGCTGTGATTAACAATATCTCTGTTGAAGCCCTTGTACTCACCTGCAAAGATGAGAAAATAATGAATCTTCACGTACAAAAGTCTTGTGTTTATCCATGGCCGCAACATGTCTGATCTTAGCAGGACGAAGATATTCCTGCAATTAAACAACCATCTTGATAACACAATCCTGAGCAAGGTTTTTGTTTATGCACTTGGCCATTGGCTTCTCTTGAAATAAAGCTCAAGAGCTTGAATAACATGAAATAGTTTGCGTAATTTAGAATAACACGATATTATAAAATTATATGAATTATAACATTAAACACGAAAAGATTACGTGAAATATAACAGACAACAGTGTTCTCACTGCCCTGGTTACAACATAAAAAAAGATGTTACAAGAATTGAGGAGCATCCCTAAAAAAATTTGACTGGCCTATTTTGTTAAATCTATATATTTTTCATGCATCAGAATTCTAGGACTTGTTATGACCATTACAATACGCGTGGTAGTTGGTTGATGGGCTTCGAGAGTGCTTCATTTAATTAGGCTTCTGTTATTCCGCTACACGTTTTTATTTTGGTACATATGCATAATTTGTTTATAGAGGACAATTCAGAGTGATTGAATTCTTAAAAAATTCTAACCAAAGGCCGTGGAATGCACTATGTTTTGACGTTAAAGTTGTTTTTCTTGAATATCACATGTAGTTAAAATTGATTGGGTTCAAGAGGTTATTGGAGCATACGGCATTGTTCCAGAATTAAGTTGCCGTTGTAATTGTTAGGTTTCCATTACCTAGGTTCTTTTCTATGCAAAGCAACTGGTGCGGCGAATGCGTGTTTGTATTGGAAGTGAGTAATTAGATTCTTGAGAAGTGAGGCAGGAAGAATCAATGTAAGTTTGTTCTAAGATGCATATGTTATTAGTGTTTTTTTAACTATGTAAATATTTAACTCTCTTTGTTAGCCAACGAAGCCTTGTAGACTTTTTTTTTGCTGACAAATCCCGTACGCCGCGGTGGCTGAGCCAAGAGCAAGGTGGTGTTGGCTGTCCGCGTATTGCAAGTGAACATATGACCACCCAGAATCAGGAGATTAGCCCTTGGCTCGGTATTCCCAAATTGCATGATGAAAGAGTCGAAAGTCGTTCTTCACGCAGAGCCCGACTTTTATAATATTGAGCAATCCGAATGGTCACGATTTACTAGCGGAACCTTGTGAATATTGGGAACGGAATTCGTAATCCTTTATTTTTGGCAAACAAGGTCCCAGTGTTCACCCCAACGTCCCCGGGGTAACTCTAGACATCCTGTGCACCTCTTTCGACCTCTCGACCTAGTTTGACAAACGGACGCTTTCGCCCGATTCTCCGGTATGCGAATCGGCCTAGGGTCCATTGCCCTATACGAAAAATTGCCCTTCTTTGAGTTGTCCGTCGACCAACGGCCTTTTAACGAATTGGCCGAATTCGGTTTCTACGGTGCCTTAATTAAAATTGGACTTTGGTATAGTTGTCAAATACCCAATCCCGGAATTGGCAGGTTGTGACCACATTTCAGTGCAATTTGAAGTAGAGAAAGACGAAATACCTTGTTTCTTCGTGTGAAACAACGTCTATACCTTGTCTGACAGCAAGTACCAGGGTAGACGCGGCTACGGCTCAGTGAACCCAAGCAGCACGGAATTTGGCCAAGCAATGGCCAATGAAAGGGGATGGTCTTGTGGCCATTGGCCAAAGAGTGGCCATTCATTGGCCAATACTTGGCGGATGGCTGATGGCCAGTGGCCATTGGCCAATGGCCAGAGAAAGGCCAGTCATCGGCCAATCTCTGGCCACTATCTGGCCACTGGCCAAAGGACCATTGCCAGACACTGGACAATGCTTGACCAACTCTGTGTTGCTTGGGAAGCCAACAAATGAAGCGCTGAAAGTTTGTCGTCATAACGCTCGCCGTATTTCTTGCTTGCTATAACCCGCTGAGCCACTCGCGTGAAGTAAATGAAACTTGCGCTTTTTTCGACGGGTGATTTTTTCAGCCGGTGATATATAGGGTGTCCCGAGGCACCAAGCTCGATCTAAAATGGACCGTAAAAATCAATACCCGCACGTAGCAATCTAAACTTTTCGCCAAAGGTGTGTTTCACAGGTCGGTTTTTTCTTGTAAACTTAGAAAGCGTAGCTCCATTTCTGTAAAAAATTGGGCTAAGATACTTGCCACGGTAAACGGCGGGCGGCGACGCAGACGACAGAGTCGCGCTTGGCACTCGTATTGATAGATGGCGCTACCTCCTTATCGAGACAACTCGTGACCAACATGGTTTATTAAAATGAACATAATTTTTTGTGATGTTCTTTTGGTTAAAAAGTAAATGAGAACAATAAGAGCAAAACTTAAAGCTGAAAAAAAAAAAAAAAAAAAAAACGCGTCTGCATGCAGACGGCGCTTTTGCTACTTACGGGTTTCGTCTGCGTGTCGTCAGCTTTCTTTCGCTGCTCGGCAGCACCTTCCAACGCCGCTCCCGACGCCATCTATTAATAGACCCTTTCTTCAAGGGCGCCACCATCTTGAATTGTCGTCACTTCCAGTATGGGCGAAAACATTGTTTTGCCGTCGCCACGCCAATAGAAGAAACTTAGGATATAAGCGCAACCCTCAAACATTATCGTTTTGCCTCCCCGTTATTTTTTTACTAGTTACAGGTTGAAACGTTTTAGTATTTTTTCGTCGCCCATACCGGATATGCCTATTAGGTGGCTGGGGAGGAGAGTACACAGAAAAGGTCTTTACGCGCGCCAAACGCACCCTGCAACTCGACTCGGTCGTCTGCGTCGCCGTCCGCCGTTGACCCTGGGAAGTTTCTTGGCCCTATTTTTTTCAGAAAGGGAGCTACGCTTCGTAATGCTTTAAGAAACAAACCGACGTGTGATGTGCACCTTTGACAAAAAGTTCAGACTGCTGCCTGCAGGCGTCGATTTTTACGGTCCATTTTAGATCGAGCCTGGTGACTTGAGACACCCTATAGAACGCACAGAAACTATGAGCCCCATGACAATGCCTTTTTAGCACTGTTTGATTGAATCGATTGGATCTTAGTGTCGGCTACGCTCAGACTTCATGAGAAACGGAATATATAGTGAGCTTCCGTCGCACCTTGCGTTCCACAGTTCCTTTAGTTTGAATTCGTTATCGCGTCGCTGTGTTTCTAACATCAGCACAGTTCGGCCTGGAGGAGATGCTAAGGTTTGCGTGATAAAGTTTCAAAGACTCTGTCTTTTTGGTTTTGCCTTTTGACTACAACCTGCTGTCAGAGCTGAGAGCGGATTTCTCGTTCAAGCAACAAGCTTTTGCAGCGACTTATTTTCAAAGACATGTTCCTAGATCAGATCGAAAACAACAACAGTGGCGATGAAGTCGCTCTTATTTCATCGCGCAAGTTACAAGCCTGGCTACGGAAACCAAAGCCATGGGATGCAGCTGCAACTCTATTACTTTTTATTGCGTTTTTGCACATATAGCGCCGAACAGACGGCACATCTAAAGGTCACATGCTATCTCTCGTCGCTTAGACAACGCGGCGTACTACTCTCGAAGAGGACCGTTTTAATTATTTCTTTGAGCTCATACAAAATCAAAAAAGGCGATACTGAATGTCCCGAAATCATCCAAATAAGAATGGTTACTTCATCATCTTCCAATTCCTCTGGCGCGCACTTTTTTATCTTCCTGTTTGCTCGGATCCTCATTTTCATTGGTTCAAGATAACAGGTGGCCTTTCTGTACTTTGTTTCAACTTAAAGCGGGGCGTAAGGATTTCCGCACTTCGGTCAAGAATTTGTGAAGTTGCCCTCTAACACATCTGAAGTAAAGAACAGAAAATCAATTTAGCCTGCGTGTCCTAGTTGTTGCGTAAAAAAAAGTTAAATGTTGACATTTCTGGCACCCCTCAACTCCCTCCCAGTCTTCGGGGTCACACCTGGTCCCCCTCCTAGCGACGTAATTCGGGGTGCCGTATAGCTTCCTGTGAGCTCTATCGGAGGACGCTTCCTCTCCCTTTCCCTGCTGACGTTAGGGAGTTTTAGTAGACCGCGTTTCCCGCTCCGCTCAGCCGCTCCGCTACCCGGAACTCTACAGCCAAGGCCATCGGCGCGCAGGCGCAGTGGTGGTTTCTTCGTAGCGGAGGGCTAGCGGAGGGGGAAACACGGTCTACTAAAACTCCCTATTAGCTGGCGTTCTGCTGCGGCTTAGAGCCGAGCGAGGTCGCGTAACCTTCTGGCCTAGTTTTTTTCGGTTGACACTCGCGGCTGCAAGTGGGGGAAAAAACTCCACTTTTGCTTTGCGATTATGCAGCGGAATCGCGACATTTTTGAATGAATGAGATGCTTTCTCTATCCTCCGGGACACGATGAACAACGTAAAAATAACGAGTTGCAAATTATTTTCATTTTAAAATCGTTACACCCGCTCTTTAACCAAAGCGCAGTCAGTCGCTAAAAGAGTCCCAGACACGTGCACGCAGTCTCAAATGGCATAGCTATGGTGCGCTCAGTTACTTTGATTGGATCGATCACGAAGAGGGTTGGACAGTTTGATTCTTGGGAGTAGCTTGATCGGCGTTATCGGCTTCTCCGATCCGCAGCCTCCCGTATTTTTCGGTTGTGCCGTTTTGCTCCTATACATCGTTCCACATTGGATCCCGACAGCCGCAGCGATCCAATGTAGCCAGTCAAGCAGCGGCGAGAGTAAGGCGTCAAAGCATTCTTTGTCTCTGTCGGTTTGCCTATCATCATTAGACCAGCGGTTCGCAAATGGGGTGGTCCGCGAAGCCATTTTTGGGGTCCGCAAATTTCTCGTGTCAGCCCTAACACCCCCCCCCCCCCCCTCCTCTTCCTTTTCTTAGAAAGAAAATAATAAAAGCGTTTCCTGCTGACCCTGGCCAAGTAAAGTATAGCTAGATTATATTATAAAGGGTACAGCTGTGACCATCTATCCATCCATTGATCCTTATACTTGAAGCTCTTTCCACACCGCACGTAGTTGTGTTATTTTATCCCCCTCCCTCCCCTTCCTCTTTCCCGTAGACTGGGGTGCAGTTGGACATAAGTGAAAGGGAGTATAGGTTGGTCGTGTATAAAGCAATAAAGAGACGACTTCAATAATAACACTAAGCGTGTCGCTTTCTTATCAAAAAATATAAAAAAATATTTATTGGGCGTATCAAGTCTC